GCAACAAAATTGAACTGGCAGATTCTCGATTTTGATTGGCTAATGAAATCGTTAAGTGAAAATTGTTCCTGGATCAATTTTACCATAATGCGAGTTTATTTTTTAAGAATTTATATTTTTGTAATGAAAAAATTAAAAAAGTTAATTTCGACCAGAAATTAGTAACCAATTTTTGCAAAATTTTAAAGATCCTCGGTCATTAGCCAATCAAAATAGAGGATCTGCCGGTCCAACTTTGTTGCGGCAGCTATGGATACTGGTTAATTACTTAAAGTATTACTGCGGAAATTCGGATTGAAATTTGAATCTCGATTTGAAAAGGTTTTATTAATAAGATATTTGTTACTATATATTAAAATTTGTTGGTATAATACTAGATTCCTGTAATCAAGAAATCAAGTTCTATTTAATATATAGTTTTAGGATTTATGGTGATTGTATTTCGTGATGATGATAGCAAAGAAATTTCAGAGATTTTAATTACTTATTGATTATAATTTTGATCAATAACGTCTATATTTTATTTAAAATCTTTAAAATTCTCTAAAAATCAAAAAATCAACTATTTCTTATAATTTTATATGAAATAACAGAATTTTCATGAATATTATTGATGAAAATGATATGTTTGTATATAATTAAGTAAAAGTTAGATGTTTAAAAAATTAAATACAATATAATGCAAATAAAATTCTTCTTTTAAGATCTGAGCGACCCAAATTAGATTTCAATCAAAAGTTTTAAGTGTGTAAAAAGCATAATAACATCATATACAGTATATGTAGTTTACAGTATTGGTAAATAATACAAATATAAAAGTACAGTACTTTGTAGAAATAATTGTCACCCAATTAATCGTGTAAGTGGCTACTTGTAAGAATATGAATTTAAGAGACGCTTTGCGTTTTATAAGCATCTTTCTTTAATACAAAGCATATTACCTATTACATATTAGCTGAAAAATTATTAGTGTGTGCAAAAAGGTGTGACCTTGCAGATCATGACGATGTTATGTAAAATCACGGATTCAAATCAATAAAAATCTAGAATCTTGGCAAAAATATAAGTCACACCTTTTTTGCTATTGTTTCCACTATCGTTAGTCCCATCACTGAATTCAAGATTTTTTTTACAAAATGTGTGAACGATTTCCATATATATATGTGGGAAATGGAAATTTTAAACTCCGGAAGTCTGGAATTTCCCATGGTATGGTGATGTGCGACCGTTCACACCTTTTTGAAAGCAGCTATTTATAAAATTATTTTTAAGATTTTGAGCACGTGTTAAATATGAATCGATTCATATTTTTTTCTGATACAGCAAATATAATATGTAATTACTGCCATTTCAAATTTGTACTCTAAACGGAAGACACACTTGCATAAATAAATAAAAATAAAAAAAGTAAAATAAATAAATAAAATAAAAAAATAACGTAATATTTTTCCGAGCCTTCTCATTAGACGCAGTCGTCTAACTGTAAACATTCATCATATTACTATATCTGATATTTCGAAAAAAAAAAAAATAGATCAATTTCCGTAAATAGAAGTATTCATAGAAGGGGCGTATCAAGATATCAAGATACTGCAGTACAGATTAGTGTCTTTGTGATAAATTTAGAATCATATTACTACTTGAGCGAGACCGTAAACTATAAGTTATATTTTGTTTACCACACACTTCTGGAATAAACATATACAGTAATTATTTGTTTCTTTTAACTTTTCTTTTAAAGATTTAAGTTGAGTAAATCGCGTGAATGCAAAAAAGTCATATAGCAGATAATACACGTATCTGAATCAAAAGCACGCGATTCTGAAACAAAATCTAGGCCCAAAACCGGTTTTTTAAAACATCATTCCATACCAAATACACCAGTCATAATCTTTGCGAATATTTACATGTCATCTTATGACATCTTATGACATCTTTCGAATGCTTTATTTCCAATTAAGGATAAATAAAGTGTAGATAACGATAACAATCACACAATACGAAATGGTTTCGATTTTACGCGTTTGAAAAAAACAGATATCTTATGACATCTTTCGAATGCTTTATTTCCAATTAAGGATAAATAAAGTGTAGATAACGATAACAATCACACAATACGAAATGGTTTCGATTTTACGCGTTTGAAAAAAAACAGATATATAAAGACTTCTTTTTTTCCTTTCAAATTTTATAATTTTTATCCCTTTTATTATCGCTACTTTACTATATTTACTATCGCTACTTCTTTTTCTTTATTGCTATATTTTTATAATTCATAAACCATTTTATAGTTTATACCCTGTTTTTATACCCATTCTCGAGCTCTAGAGAATAATAAATTGAGCTAAAGCTATGAACATCCCTATCATGCTGGTCTGTAATCCGGGAACCGTACCACGACTAGTACCGGAGGAGGGCCGCACTGAGAAGGTTGGGGTTCGCCTTCCCAGCCGAAGAGATACACCTCTACGCGGTGGTTGGGACAAGTAAGAGATTTAATCTCTGAAACGAAGTATCTCTATTTTTTTATTTTTATTTTTATTTTTTGTATAATACCTAATAATTTAGCGATAAATAAAGCTTATTAAATAAATGTATATAATGTAATAAATATATTAAATAATAAAAATGAAATAAAGTTTTGCTTAAAAAATATTTAATATGAAAGTATATATTTTTAATGATATCAGTTGAATTTTTTTTATTCTATGTTAATCGATTAATAAAAAAAATCGAATTTCTTGCTTGCTGAAGTCCAGGAAATAACAAGCATTATTTTGATCGAAGTAGTGATTATGAGTCGTAAAGCCCGTCATGACATCATAATAATACCCTTGTGCACGTCTTGAATGTGTGCCAGGTCTAAGCCCCGGAAATCAAAATTAATCGATTATGCAGAATACGATTATACTAAAATTAACTTTTTATTGCGTACTATAATTAATATTTCTATACTAATTTTATTTTATTGGATTTTTCCATACTCTTTCTGCTCAACGTTAACAACAGTTCAAAAATAGTATGGATGAACTTCGAACGTACGATATTTTGAGCGTAATGACGAAAAGTTGGCGTTAGTACATGGAGTTAACGAACAAAGGTTTTTTTCTACATTCATTTGGATTCTTTTTTTTTTAATAATATCGATACATACAATTATCGATATATTTCTGATTAATTCAATAAAATTTATGATTTCCTACAATTTATCTGCCCTTTTTTTATTTTCATTTATTAGTTATTTTCGTTAGGTCAAGTCACAAAAGGCAATTCCTTTTATGCTTCGTTATAGCCTAGTTCTATTTCGCAAGACTATTTGCAAAAATCAGAATCATCTGATAAAATATTGGAAGTAATTTCAAAGTATACTTTTTTTTTTTTTTTGTTGAATTAATAAATAGTTTTATTTTACAAAATGAAGAAGTGATGATTTTTCGGTTGAGCTGAATGAAGTTGATGGTTTAGTTGAACAACTGATGGTTTTTCGGTTGAGCAGAATGAGAGGTTATTTTCTTGCAAGAAATCAAAAATAATTACCAAAATGCCTATTCTAATGTCGTACCGCTTTGGACTTCCTTCTTGCCTGTAACACAAATTTGTCACGTGTTAAAAATGATGTTATAATCCGTAAACGACGTAAGTTGAGTGGGTCTATCGAGCTAAAAAGTCACTATTTTAAATGTGAAGGAAAACCATGTTCTTCAAACTATTCTCTCTCTTAAAAAAAGAAAATTAATAAAAGGGATCATGGTTTGAGCAAGAATGTTGCAAAAAATCAATTAAACTTATTTTTATTTGTCATTTTCATAACTGTATCATCTACACGAACGATTAAATTCTATATATTAATTTAAATTATGTTTATTTTTTCTTATCGTTTCAACTTAACGCGATATTGTTAAATGTTGAGTCCCGTGATTTTACTATGGCGTGGCTAACTGCGCCACCAACCTGGCACACATTCAATATTTAGTAATTAAGATATGCATTATTTTATTCGTGCATTTTAGGACTTCCTTTTTAATTGGCATTTGCAATTTTTTTATATATACCGATACAACCAATGTTCGATAAGCGAAAATTTTTGAGAGCGCTTGAGTTTGAGCTTGAGCTTGCGCAGCGCTTCGAATACACTGCTCTTACGCAAGTGCAAGCGTAAGAGAATAGAGATATATAAACTACAATCGGTTGAAATTTGTGAACCCCAAAATCATCGTTATCAAAAAAGTCAATTTACCAGAAAAGTAATTTAGAGTAACACCAAGCGTTAACAATCGCTAACGCTAATAATAACTATATATATAAATAAGCGCTAAACTAAAATAAGTATTGCATCAAATTCTTAATTAGCGTTAGTATCATACGTTTAAGATAAAAAGGTTGCAGGCAACCTGAATCGCTCTAGTATACGTATTGACGGTTAAAATTTGTCAGAATGTCATATTCTAGTAATTCTACGACACTTCCGTCAATAACAGATTTAAATTCACAATCTTACGGTGCTTTTACTTCTTCTATAAATCTCTTATTCGAACCTGCACCACCACTTGCAACTATATTATACTCTTGTCGTCCTTTTGCTTCTTACGAACATTTAATTTCAACTGCTACTCAAATCATTTTTGGTGACATTGAAAAACGCGATACCGATGATTCCACAGGAAATACTAACCCTCAACAATTAACGTTCTCCCAAAAGCTTGAGGTTATAAATGCTCATCCACGTTTAGGTGAAAATAAAAAAAATCTTTCGGCATTATCATTAAAAGAACAGGGCTATCTTCAAAATAAAGACAGCACTAATGATAGCAATAGTTCACCTGCTACACTTCTGTTAACAGATGAAGATGAAATAGTAAACTCAAAACTTCAATCATTGAACCAACAATACGAACAAAAATTTGGGTTTCGGTTTGTGATATTTGTTAATGGTAGATCTAGAAAAGAAATTATACCCATATTGGAAGATAAATTGCAAAATGGGAATCAAGAAGACGAATTGAATAGAGGATTGTTAGATATGATGAATATTGCTTCAGATAGATTAAAAAAGTTAGTTAATAATTGATTTAGAATTTATATCAAAAATTTATTTGATAAATCTTTTAAAGACTTTTTCAAGTACTATATTAATAAACTTGTTTTAAATTTTTTATTTTAAAATAAAATATACTGTATATCTTTAAGATATATTTTAAAATATACAGTAAATTATAACATTTTTAATACTGTTTAAATTTGTTGTTTTATTTAAATAATTGTTGTAATCTACTCGTGCTTAATATATATTTTTAAATTTAATTTGTAAAATTTTTTTAAAAAAAATGCTATTACTAGACAAGTTAACTATATTAATTAGCAATTTACATAAAAACAGAAAATTTTATATAATAAAATAAAGAAATATATATATATATATTGATAAAGAAATATTTTAAAATATTAGAATCTATTTTTTATATAATATAGTTGAAATATAATATAGTATAAAATTAAACTATATACTGTAGATATAAAAATATAGTATTATATTTGTTTTTTTTTTTTTGTTAAAAGCTCAATAAAATTTTCAAAAATTATAAAATACTTTATTAAAAGCTAAAATTTTAAACTTTAAAAAAAAATATTTTTTATTATATAATTTTTTTTTTAACATTTTAATAGTTTTATTAGTATTTTTATTAAAAGATAAAAAAATATATATATAAAATTTACTCTATTTATCTACATATAGTAGGTTTAGTATTACTTGATCACTTTATAAGCAACTACTAATATAATTTATTGTATTTAATATAATTTTTAATCATATTTTTCTATCTCTTATTTATTATATATATATTTTTTTTTAGCAATTTTGCTTTTATTATATAAAGGATATATATTCATAATACAAAGTCTTTAGCTAAAGCTTTTTCTTCTTTTTAATAAAGACTTACTCAGCTGTTCTAAAGTGCCCAGATATGATTTGCTATAACAACTTTTTGGCTTCCAACTCACTGAAAGATTTTCTATTAAATTCTTAGATAGTAATTACTAGCCTTGTCAGAATTGATTTTTTTTATTTTTTAATTTTTTCTTCTTCAAAAAGGTAGAAGAAAAAGAGATAATATAAATAATAGATAAACAAATAAAAAATAAAATAAAAAATATGAAAAACAAAAAACAAAATATACAATCCTAGCAATACTAAATTAGCCTGTACTAAGTTTAAAAAATTATATATTATTATTAAATTTATTTTTACTCTAAACTTAATATATAATATATATATTGTTAAAACAAAAAAAGTAGAATTCTTGCTTTGGTTCTAATAGTGATAGAAGAATTATTTAAATTGGGTTGGTAGATCACAAGTTATTGGTATTTTCTTCTTTATAACTATATGATTTTTTATATATTGCTAGCAATTTTTAGCATTTTAATATTATATAGGGTCCTATACAGCAAAACGGTATAATAGGCCAACTAATCAGATTTTGAGATTTTGTAATAATAATTTGCTTATATATTTTATCTT